TTGAGGTATAGTAGGACCCTGAGATGGAAGGGATGATTTGAGGTATGCCCATAGCTGAATTGCGTTTGGGCATTCAAGAAAAATATGAGTTGTTGTTTCAGGAGCCATATGACACTGTGTACATATAGGCGAAGGTAGGATACCTAAACGTGAGAGATACATAGCAGTAGGAAGTCGGTTATGTGAAAGTAACCAAAGAAAGAATGATATTTTTTGGTGGTATGTTTAGTTGCCAAATCCACTTGTAAGTATTGTTGAATGGTAATAGGGGTGAGTGATGTGTAACTAGATTTTATAGAGAAGATACCATTCGTGGTAAGAGCCCAAAAAATCTGATCGTAGGTTGTGTGAGAGAGAGGCATGTATATATCCTTAATGGTGTTCTTTAGTTGAGTTGGTAATTCGAAAGGTAATTTTTCAAAATGCCATTCGTGACTGTAGTGATAATCGGAGACTAAATTTTGCTCTGCATAACGTGGGAGTGGTCCAGTTATACAAGTGCGAAGTGGTAAATTTTGTTTCATCCAAGGGTCAGTCCAGAATTGGACGTGTTGGCCATTGGTTAGGTTCCATTTATATCCTAAACGACAGTCAGACCATCCACGAATTATATTCCGCCAAGTAGATGAAGCATTTATTTTTATAAAATGTTTTGGGCATATATATGTGTGAAGAAGTACCTGTGCCCAAAGTTGGTTTGGATTTTGGAAAAGTCGCCATGCGAGACTTGCGTGTAATGCTTTACTTTTTTGTTGCAAGATTTTGTATCCCCAGGCCTCCTTGATCTAATGGTTGGGTTACTATATTTCATTTAATAAGATGTAATTTTTTCTTTTGGGGAGTTGTACCCCATAGAAAATTTCTTTGGTAGCGAGTAAGATGAGAAAGTATATAGTTAGGTAGTGTAATATATTGCATAAGGTGATTGGTAGGTGGTTTAGTGTAGAACGAATTAGTGTTGTCCGACCTGCCTGAGATAAAAAATTTGTTTTCCAACCAGCTAGTTTATTTTTAAAATTATCTAATAAGAATTGGAAATCCCTTTTTGATGGTTTCTTTGTAAAGATAGGGAACCCTAAATATCTTCCAAAATTTTTTCCTTCATTCATCTGAAAGAGTTGGAGTACTGATGTTCTGGTAATTGTTGAGCAATTTTTTGAGAAGAAATTTTTTGATTTTTGAAAGTTTATAGTTTGGCCCGAGTGGTTTGTAAAGTGAGTAATAGTATCAACAATTGATTCGCATGTAGTTGGAGTAATTTTGCTGTTAGAATAATATCGTCGGCAAAAAATAAGTGAGATAGCTGAGGTCCTCTTTTAGCGAGAGAGATTGGTCACCAAGCATGATTATCGACTGCTGTGTTGATTGTGCGCGAGAGCATTTCAAGACAGAGGATAAACAAATATGGCGATAGTGGGTCTCCCTGGCGTATGCCTCTGGTGGGGTTGAAATATTCAGTGGGATTTCCATTAATAAGAATTGATGTAGAAGTTGTTGTGATACATGACATAATGAGTTGAATAAAAGTTGGCGGAAAATTTAGGGTAACGAGAGTATGATGTATGAATGACCATTCTAATTTGTCAAAAGCTTTTTCAAGATCCAATTTAAGAAGCATATTAGAATTTTTGCCCTTCATTTTTTGGAATCTAGAAATTACTTCCTGGACAATAATAGCATTATCCGCAGCTCTTCTATTTTTCTGGAAACTAGATTGAGTTGGATCTATAATATGTTCCAGAATTGGTTTGAGCCTATTTAGAATGATTTTTATAATCAGTTTGTAAATTGTATTGCATAGGCTTATGGGTCGATATTGGGAAATAGATAAAGCGTGTTTATGTTTAGGGATTAGGCAAATAAGAGTAGTGTTGTTGTTAGGGTGTATCTTATGATCAAGAAAAACATTGTGGCAAAAGTATTTCACTGAATTGCCAATGGTATCCCAATATTTTTTATAGAAGAAGGGGTGTAGTCCATCCGGCCTCGGAGCCTTTAACGGTTTAAAACAATGAATGGCATTGAGGATCTCATGATCTTGTAGTGGTTGAGTTAAAGAAATATGTTCAGCCTGAGTTAGAACGTTTGAAGGTTGGACTGAATGTTGTCTAGTGGAAAAAGTTTTTTGTGTTGTAAATAGAGTATGGTAATAATTAGTAATATTTATTTTAATGATTTGTGGGTTTGTGAGCCAGTTTCCCCCTAGGTCTTGTAATGTAGTTATACGATTATGTCTTCTACGATTTAAAGTGGAGAGATGAAAAAAAATTTGTGTTTGCATCTCCATCGTTTAACCAGTTAATACGGAATTTTAATTTCCAGAAGTCCTCCTCTAGCCTAAGAAGAAGCTTGAAATCAGTTTGTAATTGACGATCCAAATTTTGTGAAAAAGTGCTAGTAGGATAGTTTACGGAAGATTGAATACCTCCTAATCGAGCCAAGATTTTTCTCTTGCGTTTAAATATATTTCCAAAGGTGGATTTATTCCATTCTTGGACAATTTCTGTGAAGTTTTCAATTGCTGGGAGTAATTGTGAATGTTCATGCCAAGCTTGTTGGACTAACGATGGGAAAGTAGGGTGTGTAGCCCAAATTGTTTCAAAGCGATTTTTTTTTTCGAGGTAATGGATAGTGTTTTAGTTGTAATAAAAGGGGACAATGATCGGAATGTGTACGTGGGAGGTGTGTGACAAGTGCATCAGGGTAATGACTGATCCAGTCATAATTTCCTATAAATCGATCAATACGTTCTAGAATATTATGATTATTATATCGACCATTTGTCCAAGTGTATCGGCTACCTTTATAACCTAGATCAGTAAGGTGGCAATAATTTATACAGTCAATAAACTTATTTGAACGTGAATTATTAATCTGTTGGCCTCCAAACTTATCATTAGCGTGAGTTATTTCATTAAAATCCCATCCTATAAGCCATGGACCCTTGTAATTGTCGTACAAAGACATAAGATTATTCTAAAGAATTTGTTTATTACTTAAATCATTGCTAGCATATACTGCAGTAAATAACCACTTAAAAGGAGAAGGATGTACCTGGATATGACAGTGTATTTCCTGCTGTGTGGTTGCCACTGGTTCTACTGTAAGTATGTCACAATGCCATAAAATGACTATACCTCCCGATTGGCCTATAGCAGCCACCTCAACCATGCCAGTAAAATTAAATTCCTCCTTCAAATGTTGGTGATCTGCACAGTGAGTTTCCAGAAGCATAACCAGAGAAGGGCGATTGTAATCAAGGAGGGAGCAAAAATTATGTCGAAAGCCAGCAGACTGAGCTCCTCTACAATTCCATATAATTAAATTCATATGATTATTATCGAGGGTGAGCAGTTGGCTGCTCTGTGTGTTCCTCAGGGTGTTGGTGTTCTCCCCCGGGCGCAGACGTAGTGTTGGTAGTAGGAGCATTGCATATTTTCCCACCTCTGGATTTGTGGTGGGCCTTATGCGAAGTGATGTTGTTATTAGATTTGGGGGACAGCGGATGTATATTTTTATTTTGTATTCCTCCTTCTGGACAAAGACCTTGATTCTATCGAGCCATGCATGAACGGGGCGTGTCTCCCTGTTATAGGCTACTGCTGCTTTGAGTTCTTCCTGGAAAGCACTGTTTTGTGCGCCTGGATTGGGAAGGTTTGGTGGGGATTGTGGGGGTGAGGGGAGTGGAGGTGTAAGGGGTTCCAATAATGGTGTGTGTGGCTGTGGAACTGAGTATGGTTATATCCATGGTGTTGCAGGAATTGGAGTTGGTAGTGGGTACAAAGGCAGTTGAATATGATTTGGGTGGAGATGAGTGGGATCCCACATTGGTATTAGAAGATGTTGAGGATGGTATGGTGCAAGATAAGGGGCTTGCATCATAGACCAATGGTACCTGCCATAGATTTCCATCCCTAGGCTCATTCCCTCCGCGATTATTTGCGCAAGGTCCCTCAAATTGTTGATAAGTATTGTCACTTCTTGGTTGTTTACCTCCATTGTGAAGGTTAGAGCATGATTCTGAAGCCCTATCTCTAGCCAAGATGTTGGAGCTGTCGTTGCATGTGGTGTTTGAGCAGTGTATATTATTGTGTTGGGTTCCATTATGAGATGTGGATGAGGGATTGAGTATGGAGTTTGGTGGTGATTGAGACGATGAATAGTCTGCCTGTTGTTGGTGTTTGATTGTCTGTGTAGGTGATTGAAAGTGTTGGGAAACATCTTTTTTATTTGAAGGAGTTGATAAAGGAAGCTGATTGATATGTGAAGGAATTGAGACTTGTTTTAAAGATGAAGATATATCAGTGGTGGAAGAGGACGATTGAGTTTGATGAATGAGAGTCTGTGGGTGGGATTGGTGTCGATTTTATGTAGTGTTAGTGTTTGAGAAATCATCATTTGTTGTTTGCATGGAATATGTAGCAGGTTGCCTTGGTGGAGAGGGTAAGCCGTCGTTGGTAGTACAAGTATTATGATTGTGTAGGTTTTGTACTAGGTTTTGTAGGGGTGCTGAGTGGGATTGGGTTGAGTGTTGTGAGAGGTCTTGCATGTGTAGAGGGGTGTCGTGTCTCTCTGCATGGGCTGGGGTAGGTGTTGGAGATTGTGTGTTCTTTGATTGGGCCGTAGGGATAACTTGTTCGGTTAGGTTTTGATTAGTAATTAAAGGCCTTAGGTTATTAGAGGTTAAAGAATTGTCCTTATTTAATTTAGTGAAGCTATTATCAGAGGAATTGTCATTATTTGATAAGGAAGCAAATTTATTATTAGTAAGAGTTGCTGATGTGGAGGATTTATTAAAAACATTTTTAGTGGTAGGATTACTACTGTTAATAGACAGATTAGTAAAAACAGTTTATTAGGGTTTTTTGGCATATCAGTTGGAGTCACGTGCTTACCTGATGACTGAGAAGATGGAGAAGGAGAAACTGGGAGTGATTGGAGGGATTTTGGTTGCGCGGCAGTTTTTTCATCATGGATTTCCTTGTAAATTGTACAATTTTCTATTCTTCAGTAGATGGAGTGGGTAATTTCGAAGAAAGGATGGCAGTAGGGTTTGTAGTTTGGGACTGGTGCAATGGATTTGATTCTTGGGGAAAGTTTTGTTGGAGGTGGTAAGTACATGCCCTTTGGTTATGGCCAAGTCGACCACAATTGATGTAGAGCATGTTCAATCCTTCATAAAGGATAGTTTGCTTGTGGCTGCTGATAAAGAGGTGAGTTTTAAACGGTTGATCCAATGGTACCTCAATACAGAGCCTTGCATATCTTCCTCTTGTTGTTGTAGAGGTGCATGTATCAACAGTAAGTAGTTTTCCAATTTTATTTCCCAGTTTTTTCAGGATCTGAAGGTCGTAAAATTCTGTAGGTAATTCAGGGAGACGCAACCATATTGCCGAGTATGTTATTTTCGTTTCTGAAGCCATAAATTTTGGTTCCCATTGACGGACTGAGAGAAAATGGTTTGAAATAAACCAAGGGCCATCTTGCAAAGCATGAAGCTTATTCTCCTCCTTTTGGAATTTAATGAGGAAGAAATGAGATCCTAGATCAATCAATGGAAGATTTTCAGTAGGTTTCCATTGTGCATAAATTTTTTGGCGAAGAAGTTGGTGTCCAACCTTTCGACCAAAAACCTTGATAATAACTGCATGTTTCCATGGAGTATAGAGTCTGTTTTTTTCTTCTAGTGAGAGCGGGATAAAGATTGAAGGATCCGTAGGTGCCTCCGTTTCATCTGTGATGTTGAGGCTAGGGTTTAGGGAGTAAGGTTGATTGGTATGTGAAGATATATTGTTATGAGATATAAGTGTGCAAAGGTATGATTGGTTGGTAGAATTTGCCGGTTTTGTTGGGGAATCAGGGGGATCTATGTTCATGGTGCCATCAGTGAAGGTGGATGAATGGTTTAGTGTTGGTGGTGAGGAAGAGTAAATGGATTCATGATGAAACAGTGTGTATTTTTGAAAATTTGTTAGAGAGCATTTTGTTCTCTTTTGGCTTCCCTTGTAGTGATCTACTGTAATATACTACTCACGATCCTATTCATATTAAGTTGCTCAGTTCTTTGCAAATGAAAGCCTATATAGGGACCAGTGTAATTTTAAAATAATACACTTTTTGGTCTTTGGTCACTTGACCTTTAATTACGTGAAACATGTGACTCAAAGTTTCCATGAATTATTGTGTCTTATGTGAGCTTATCTCTGATTTTGCTATTTGCTCACATGAATTAGTTGATTTAAATTAAGGTCTTGGCATGGATTATACACTAAAAGAAAAAAATGGATTAATTTGGAAAGCTTGAAAATTAATAGCTTTTCATCTGTTGACAAGCAAAGTGCGAGTTGCTCAATCGTTGAAACACCATACTTCAAGCCTCGTCTTTGATAAGTTGATATTTAACAAGTTTTGAAGTAGGGGCTTTTGTAGGCATGTAAATTTTTTTATTGAATTCAAATTCAATAAATAATTTGGATTATATTTTAAATATATTAGTGCAAATAAATATTTTGGGCTAATATAAATGGATTAATTGTATAAGTCCAATATTATTGGGCTAGCCCATTTAATTGGGCCACAAATGATGAGCCCACCTCATTAGGCCCAAGATATCATCTTTCTAGAGGCCCTGTTTGGTGCCACATGTCAAATGATGTGGCACAGCAAGTCAAACGGAAAAAGGCCAATAGGATCATGCCACGTGTCAAAAAGACAAGGTATGCTAAATCACATTAAAATGCCAATGAAACTACGCCACATGTGCAAGTGACATGTTCTGGATAATCAAATGCGACCTTGTCACACTTCAATTTGATTGGTCGGGAAGAGTTTGTTCTTATCACAACTTTTCCCTCCCACAACTATAAATAGGGGTCTTCATAACTCAGAAAAGGCACCAGAAGTTATAACAAGAAGCAAGAAAGAGCTCGGGAATCAAACATTGCAAATTCCTCCACAAGTTTCAAGCTTCAAGCAATCAAGTTCAAGTTCAAACAATCAAGTTCAAGCTCAAGAACGAAGAACAAATCAAGTTCAGGCTCAAGAACGAAGAACAAATCAAGTTCAAGTTCAAGCAATCAAACTCAAGATCAAGAACGAAGTCTAATCAAATACAAGGCGTTCAAGATCAAGGCTACTTGTTCGTGATAAAATTCATGGCAACAATCAAAGTGTTCGCGACGGATAAATCAAATTAAAATTCTAGATCAAGCTCAAAGGCCCTTGAATTTATACTAGAAAAGTAGAATCATGGGAATCATAGAGATTGTAACACTCAAATATTTGAAATAAAATACTACGATTGATGCAATATTTTTCGGTCTTGATTTTATTTCTCGACGCAAATTTATTGTCTACACATATTTATATTCAATAAAAATTAAACAATATGTATGGAGTAAAATTAATAAAATAATAAATAACAAATAAAAAAAATTAGAAAGTAAGAATAATTTTACCCAATGACTGATTCAAGAAGTTTGAACACTTTGATTCCAAAATATCTAGTTGTTGGCTTGTTGCTTGTCCGCTTCAAAATTCTTGCTCTAAATCTTGAAAAATTATACTATATTTTTTATATAGCAATAGAAATACAAATGATTAACCCAAAAAATAGTTTTCAAGGTCATAGCAATAATTTTATATGACGGGCCACAAGCAACCGATTCAATCCGAAAGATATAAATTTTCGTTAATGCAACGTGATAGAGAAGTGGAAATTAAATTTAATGACAGATAATATAATAAAAATAAAGCAAAGAAGAAAGAATTCTTATTGAATGATCCTTGATAGGATAATGAGCCGAACAGAGCTTGAAGGGCCGAACTATGGCTAACTTGGGAGCAATATGCTGTAAATTACAATGTATAGAATTGTAGAGAAGAAAAATAGATTCCCCTCATGGTGGTAAAAGTATGTCTATTTATAGGGTTAAATCTAAGTAACTATTGTCCTTGAATTATGGATCCATTATGAGCATTTACCCGATCCATCCATTACTTTGGAAGACTTGTAACAGCTGTGCAAATGCTGGAATTCCGTAACTGATGAGTTAATTCCGTAACTGATGAGTTAATTCCATAACTGATGAGTTAATTTGGTAACTGATGAGTCAATCCCGTGCCTGTTGAGTCAACCCCGTGCCTGTTGAGTCAATCTCGTGCCTGTTGAGTCAATCCCGTGCCTGTTGAGTCAATCTCGTGCCTGTTGAGTCAATCTTGTAATTGATTGCCTTGTTCTGACTGTTACAATCATTTATTGCATTTATTAATAATTGTTTTGTAACTTATGGTGTAATGATGGTAAATCCCATATAATCCGGGATTAATTGATTCCTTCCTCATTTGTAATTATGAGATATTCTCCCGCACCTGATCCGGGCTATTTTATGATAATCGGTTTCGAGGCTAACAGGCACGGTGCGAGTATGTTCGATCCCGGGGTGTTTCACATATCATCTTTACATGTCATTCTTCACTTTTCTCCAAACTTTGCTGACACGTGTCGCCATTTAATAGACCCACATGGCGGGTCTATTTTTTACTAATACAGATAGTTCTCCCACTTTTCGGTTACTCAGTATGATGTGACCGGGAAGTGGAATATTTTATTTTTTCATCCTTGCCTCTACCTCATTAAAAACTTTGCCGAAAAATCCAATAGGGACAAAAAACGGACGAAGAAAAAAAGAGTGCAGAACTTAGAGATTCAGATGACAACTCCACCGCTTATGTTCCTTTCGTCAATAATCGGTTGGTTTACCCCTTTCTTGTTTTGGGGTTTGAAGACAAATATTTGCCTTATGTTTGCAAAGTTTGATATATAAATTTCGGCTTAATTTTCTGCCTATTTTAATGTTTGGGTTTTTGTTTCACCCTTTGTTGTTTAACTTTGCATTAAAAATGCTTCAATGCTTCGTGACTTTTTTGAATAAGCACGAATTATAAAAGAGGGCCCTTTTATGAACGACACTTAATGAAGAAGACGTCTCAACTTCATAGTGGTGTAAACATCCGAAAGAAGAAATAGGAACACATATGTTTCTTTGAACAACTTTGAAGAAAGTTTTGTATCATTCTATCTTTCGACTTATATAATACTTTACATGTATTTAAGTATCATCTATAACTCTTTCGTAACTGTTTTCTTTACAACAGATTTGTAAAAATTCAAGGGTATATCTTGCAACCCATGATTAAATATTGTCTTTAACCTAAACATTCGTAAGATTTTAAAATTTACATCCACGAGTGTATTCTTCACAGATTTTTTGAATCAGGCTTGCATTTTTGGCTCGTGACATTGCTCTTAACTTTCGATTTGTTGGGTAGACCTTAGGCTTGACTTGAATTCTGATTTTTCTAGTCTTCTTTGCCTTCCATATATATAGTCCCCCAAGTGTTAGAGCTTTGAAGTATGAAATCTCGAGCATTTGATTATTCCTTCCATGTGGTCCATTTCCTGAAAAGGAAAAACATACGGGACTCGGAGGTATATATTTTAGATGATGACTACTTAATCCTTTTATTTCATTAGAAAGGTTGTAACCTAGACCGGGAATAATACAGTGTTCCTCGTGTCTTTCGGGTCTAATATCATCATTTGGCATTTTTAGGGAATTTATCCGAGTACTAATTTTTCTTGGCACTTTAGAAAATTATTTGAGTGCTCATACCTAGTATTTTAGACTTAAAATATATATTTTGATGCATCGTTACTTGTGCGATGTCTAAAGTTGCACCTTTGGGTGTCTAACTTTTAAATAAAAGAGGGCCCTTTTATATATTTTAAACGCTATGAAAAGGACGTCTCCTTTTCATTCAGGCGTAAAATAGGATCGATTGATCCAAGTAGACTTTTAGTCTGAGGGGTATTAATCCAGGTAGGATTTACAAGAGTATTGACCCCATTAAGATTTACGGGAGTATTGATCCCGGTAAGACATTGAGTTTAAGGGAATATTGATCCCAAACAAATATATATCTTAGTAGATTTATCCTGAAGAGACATTTAATCTGTTTGTATTTGAATCCAAATTGGAGTAAATGAACATACTTCCAAGTAGAGAGGGACACATGTCCGAAATAATATTAGAGATTTTCGTTTATATATAAGGGATAATCGATTCGAGTCATAATATAATTAGCCATTAAGAAAGGCTTATATATTTAACTTGAATGGTCGTTGTTGGACCGAATATAAGTCACGTGTTTGTTCAAAGTGAACTTTATTCTGGTGGCTTATTTGCATACATTTATCTTGAATTGGATGTAAAACTCTCGTTTTTATCGTGGGATTCTTGACTCTGACATGGAGTTCTCGATCCTTTTTGTGTACATGTAGTATATGTATTTTTGAAGAACTCATTCAACACTGTTTGAAGTGTTTATGCTTGATATGAGCAATACAACTAACTGAGTTGAGCTGGTAAATAGTATCGGAATACTCTTAGGAATTATATCTCCCAAGGCAATCAATTGTTTGTATCACTTCTTATAATGTCAGGTCAAATTGACTAATCTTCAAGTATAAGTACTCTTCCTAGTGTTTGAGTTTTAAGGTATGAGAACTCAAAACACTGTAATCATAATTTGACGATCCACAGTTTAATAGTCCCCGGTAGGGTAGTTAGTTTCGATATTGAAGGACTTTCAAATGGTCCAGTTCCAACATAGGGACGGTAACGGAGCTTTTTTTATCAATTTTTTTGTACTCTGGACGGAACTACGGAGGTTCCAAAATGTTGTCGAGGATCATGCCATATCTTGATTTGAGCTATTCATATTGACTTTCATGAGTTTTCGATTTATAGCCTTATTACCGGAGTAATTTTCACTGCTTTCTTTATAAATTTCTCGCATCATATATTTTGTTTGT